GTAGGTGTTTCGCTATCGCTTCTAGGAGGAAATACTCATTCCTGTTGTCCTTTGGAACGCGTGCAGGATAAAATGAAACGTTGTTGAGTATCGGTATGTGAAAGAAGTTTTATTTTCATCCGGTGCTAAAACCACTGCCGCCGGTCGCAAATGTCAGATTTTTTTTCCTTTTTTTATCAGAGAATATCCTCAAAGAAATTCGGATCTCTAGTAATTGGATATGACGTGTGAACCCCAATGAGAAGATAAAAACTCAAAAAAGTACAAGTCGGGAGATGAAAAGGAATGTCAGTCATTCCAACATTACCGGCCAGAAGGATTTCTGTTGCGGCGCCTAAATTTCCAACCATTATTCGTATTTGCCGATTTTCTGCCGTCCTATCTCAAAGCATCGCCGACCATTGCAGGTAAACTCAAAAAATAAGGGGGAACTAGTGCATAGGCCTCCTCAGACGATAGGCTTGAGTGCGGGGGGAGGGGGAGCGAGAGGAGGAGGGGGTGAGCATGAGGGAAAGAGGGAGCCAGGGCTAGGCGTGGTCTCTCAGCTGAGCCAGTTATTTTGCCTCTTTTCATCGCGAGGCGGCCGTTAGTGTGAAAGTTCTGTCTTGGAATTCGGTTGCCTTGGATATGGATAGCTTCCGGGAGAGAGAGAAGTCCATTGTTAGGCCCGTGCATCACATGGGAGCATAGGAGTATCCTTCGGGTCCCACGAAATGGCCTCCTCCGTCGTCAGCCGCTCGCATGATCGAAGCCTCCCTCAGTAGCTCGCCTGCCTCTTGCCGCTAGTGATTAGGGTGAAGGTTGATCGAGGTGAAGCGGGATTGCACAACCGCCCGTGGCACAGGGCGCCCTCGTCGCCGCCTACGCCCGCTCTCGCCCCGATAAGGGAGGGGCGGCGATAGAGACAGCCTCAGGGCCTTTTTTATTTAGGAAGAAGCGGGAATACTGCATAGAAGTAAGGCATAAGTTGTATCCACCCTCAGGCTGGCGAACGGCGGTCCGTCCGTAGTTACGAACGTGCACACATACGCACGCACGCCGATAGTAGCTCGCAGCACACACATGCGCGCAGCCCCGGCCCAGTGTGCCGAGGAGCCCGCTGTGCCGCACTGCCTCGCCTCTGCACGTGTGGAACGGAAGGCGCGGCCCGCGGGTCCACTTTCGGGGCAATAACGATGCTAGAATGCTGTAGACCTGTCCAAGCGAGGCAGATGAAGCTGGCCATAGGCGGCTGAGCCTGGCTTGTCTGGGCCCCTCCTCCTTCCCCCTCCCCCCTCCCCCTCCTGCCATGTTTGTATTTTTGTTTAGCTTAGCAAGGGTCACCTTGTACACGAATACGTCTTCGATGGGCTGGCGAAAAGAAGTGGCTGCAGTTGCGTCATTAAGATAAACCTGTGTGGCGCTCTGTGGGTCCAGCTTCCAAGGCGGCCGGGATTGCCTGTCGGAGATATGGAAAGTGTGCGTGTGTGTGTTTGTATGTATTAATGTTCGCGCGCTATTTGTGTTGGTGTGCGTTTGTGCATGCGTATTTTAGTATTATGTATTAGTATGTATGCATTTCTTGGTAGTGTTAGCAGTGTGAGTATGTATGTTTGTGTTTGTGTTAGCCGTGTGTGTTTGTTAGCCGTGTGAGTGTGTGTTTGTGTTTGTTAGCCATGTGAGTGTGTGTTGTTTTGTTAGCCGTGTGAGTGTGTGTTTGTGTTTGTTAGCCGTGTGAGTGTGTGTTTGTGTTTGTTAGCCCTGTGAGTGTGTGTTTGTGTTTGTTAGCCGTGTGAGTGTGTGTTTGTGTTTGTTAGCCGTGTGAGTGTGTGTGTGTGTGTGTTTGTTAGCAGTGTGAGTGTGTGTGTGTGTGTGTTAGCAGTGTGAGTGTGTGTGTGTGTGTGTGTGTGTGTGTGTGTGTGTGTGTGTGTGTGTTTTAGCAGTATGTATTTATGTACATATTTGTTTATTAGCAGTATGTGTGTGTTTGTGTATGCATACACTAATGTACACATGTATAGTTGCATGTATGTATGTGTTCGTATTGTTTGTTTCTGTACATGTACAAGTGTTTGCTAGTTAGTAGTATGTATGTATGTATAAATGTTATTAGTGTGTGTATGTTAATAGTATGTATGTATTTTAGTGGTACATGTCTATTAAAGTATATATGTTAGTGGTATGTCTGTGTGTGTATACATGTTAGTGGTATATCTGTGTGTGTGTGTGTGTGTGTGTACATGTCAGTGGTATATCTGTGTGTGTGTGTATACATGTTAGTGGTATATCTGTGTGTGTGTGTGTGTACATGTCTGGTGTGTGTTGTGTATACATGTAGTGGTATATCTGTGTGTGTGTGTGTATACATGTTAGTGGTATATCTGTGTGTGTGTGTGTATACATGTTAGTGGTATATCTGTGTGTGTGTGTGTATACATGTTAGTGGTATATCTGTGTGTGTGTATACATGTTGTGGTATGTGTGTGTGTGTGTGTGTGTGTGTGTACATGTTAGTGGTATATCTGTGTGTGTGTATACATGTTAGTGGTATGTCTGTGTGTGTGTGTGTCTGTGTATACATGTTAGTGGTATATCTGTGTGTGTGTGTATACATGTTAGTGGTATATCTGTGTGTGTGTGTATACATGTTTGTGGTATATCTGTGTGTGTGTGTGTGTGTGTGTGTGTGGTATATGTGTGTGTGTGTGTATACATGTTTGTGGTATATCTGTGTGTGTGTGTGTGTATACATGTTTGTGGTATATCTGTGTGTGTGTATACATGTTTGTGGTATATCTGTGTGTGTGTGTATACATGTTAGTGGTATATCTGTGTGTATGTATACATGTTAGTGTATGTGTGTATGTATACATGTTAGTGGTATATATACTCTGTGTGTGTATACATGTTAGTGGTATATCTGTGTGTGTGTGTGTATACATGTTAGTGGTATATCTGTGTGTGTGTGTATACATGTTAGTGGTATATCTGTGTGTGTGTGTGTATACATGTTAGTGGTATATGTGTGTGTGTGTGTATACATGTTAGTGGTATATCTGTGTGTGTGTGTGTGTGTGTGTGTATATATATATATATATATATATATATATATATATGTATATATCTGTGTGTGTGTATACATGTTAGTGGTATGTGTGTGTGTGTGTGTGTGTGTATACATGTTAGTGTATATGTGTGTGTGTGTGTGTGTGTATACATGTTAGTGGTATATCTGTGTGTGTGTGTGTGTGTATACATGTTAGTGGTATATCAGTGTGTGTGTGTGTGTTACATGTTTAGTGGTATATCAGTGTGTGTGTGTGTGTTATCATGTTAGTGGTATATCAGTGTGTGTGTGTATACATGCTAGTGGTATATATCTCTGTGTGTTTACATGCTAGTGGTATATATCTCTGTGTGTTTACATGCTAGTGGTATATATCTCTGTGTGTTTACATGCTAGTGGTATGTCTGTGTGTATACATGCTAGTGTTATGTCCGTGTGTGTGTATATAAATATATATGTTAGTGGTATGTCTGTGTGTGTGTGTGTATTTGTTAGCGGTGTGTGTGTGTGTGTGTGTGTATTAGCGGTATGTGTGTGTGTGTGTGTGTGTGTGTGTGTGTGTGTGTGTGTGTATGTGTGTGTGTGTGTATTAGCGGTATGTATCTGTGTGTATGTATATATGTTAGTGGTATGTCTGTGAGTATATATGTGTTAGTGATGTGTATTTATTTATACATGTTAGTGGTGTGTGAGTATGTGTGTATGTATGTTAGTGGTGTGTGTGTATGTATGTATGTATGTATGTATGTATGTATGTATGTTAGGGTGTGTATGTATGTATGTTGTGTGTATGTGTATGTTAGTGGTGTGTGTGTGTATGTATGTATGTAGTGGTGTGTGTATGTATGTATGTATGTAGTGTATGTAGTGTGTGTGTATGTATGTATGTAGTGTGTGTGTGTATGTATGTATGTTAGTGGTGTGTATGTATGTATGTATGTTAGTGGTGTGTATGTATGTATGTATGTTAGTGGTGTGTATGTATGTATGTAGTGGTGTGTATGTATGTATGTATGTATGTATGTATGTATGTGTATGTATGTATGTTAGTGGTGTGTGTATGTATGTATGTTAGTGGTGTGTGTATGTATGTGGTGTGTGTGTGTGTGTGTGTATGTATGTATGTTAGTGGTGTGTGTGTGTGTATGTATGTATGTTATGTGTATGTATGTATGTTAGTGGTGTGTGTGTGTGTGTATGTATGTATGTATGTTAGTGGTGTGTGTGTATGTATGTATGTATGTTAGTGGTGTGTGTGTATGTATGTATGTATGTTAGTGGTGTGTGTGTATGTATGTATGTATGTATGTATGTTAGTGGTGTGTGTGTGTATGTATGTTAGTGGTGTGTGTGTATGTATGTATGTTAGTGGTGCGTGTGTATGTATGTATGTATGTATGTTAGTGGTGCGTGTGTATATATGTATGTATGTATGTAGTGTGCGTGTGTATGTATGTGTATGTATGTTAGTGTGTATGTATGTATGTATGTATGTTAGTGGTGTGTGTGTATGTATGTATGTATGTATGTATGTATGTATGTATGTATGTATGTATGTAATGTATGTGTATGTATGTATGTGTATGTGTGTGTGTGTGTGTGTATGTATGTAAGTGGTGTGTGTGTGTGAGTATGTATGTAAGTGGTGTGTGTGTGTGTGTGTGTGTGTATGTATGTATGTATGTATGTAATGTGTGTGTGTGTGTGTGTGTATGTATGTATGTATGTATGTATGTAAGTGGTGTGTGTGTATGTATGTATGTATGTAAGTGGTGTGTGTGTGTATGTATGTATGTATGTAAGTGGTGTGTGTGTGTATGTATGTATGTATGTAAGTGGTGTGTGTGTGTATGTATATTAATGGTGTGTGTGTTTATGTATATTAATGGTGTGTGTGTGTATGTATGTGGTGTGTGTGTGTATGTATATTAATGGTGTGTGTATGTAATGTGTA